GTACGATCACTCCTGTGAAGTACCAGTTCCTAATGACGTCAAGAATCTCACTCGCAATGCCCCTTTTTCTGGCAGTAGGATGTGTCCACAGCCGATTCACACCGATCATGGGATCGTCAGCGCAGATAGTCTTAATTGCGGAAAAAAGTTGACAAGGAACGAAAGGCGGAACAGGCATTGACAAGGATGTTACCTCTCCAGTTGTCAAACACTGCGCAGATGAAAGAGGCTCTGTCACGACAACACCAGCAATATGGTGAGAAGAACCCTGAAACAATGTTCTTTCACTTTAGTAATGAACAACCAGAGAATAAAAATGGTCTCGAGGAACAAGTGCAAGCTTGGACTGAACGGTTAGCAAACTTCGGGCTCAGATTGAACGTCAAGAAAACCGAGTACCTGACGACTGACCCGGACGAGTCTGGTTCAGTTAAGGTGTGCTCACGCGAACTACATCGTTCAAATACCTCGGATCAACAATTACGTCTGACGGTAGTCTCGACTCAGAAGTGAGCGCACGTGTGAGTGCAGCCTGGTCTAAATGGCGGTCTATGACTGGCGTTCTCTGCGACAAGACAATACCAGATCGCCTCAAATCGAAGATCTATAGGACCGTCGTTCGACCAGTCGCGATATATGGCGCTGAATGTTGGCCTACGACCAGAGAAGTTGAAGCGCGCCTAGGAGTCATGGAGATGAAAATGTTGCGATGGACCGCCGGTGTCACGCGTATGGATCGCATACGCAATGTGGTGCGGTCATGTTCTTCGCGCAAATTGTGACACTGTCCGCAAGATTGGTCTTAAGCTCGAAGTTCCCGGAAAGCGGCTTAGAGGACGCCCTAAGCAGCGCTGGTAGCATGCGGACTATCCGATCAAGCATTTAATCGGGAGAAGTGGCGTGACAAAATAAGGCAAGCGGACCCTGCTGCAGTGCGGGACAAACGCTGAAGAAGAAGAAGAATAAACAACCAAAACACTGCAGCGGGCCAGTCAGGGGTATTTACCAGTCCTCCACAGGAGAAAAGTCTATCGCAATGAAGAATCAGCTCGGAAAAAGCAGAAATAATGGAAGGTCGTTTGATGCCGTACGGCTTCGTTCACACTTCACAACACTAGAATCGGGGAATCTCGGAAACAGTGGAATCGGGGAACCGTGAACAGAGGAAGCTTTGGTTATTTTCGAATCTTCAGATCGATAATTATGCAAGTCTTCTCGCGAATACTCCAACTCTCCCAGTTTCACGACTCTTCAATACCGCGAGGTATTGGTCCTGGACATAGTCAAGGACCAATACCTCGCGGTATTGAAGAGTCGCGGATCAAACATTCCCGCGACCAAGTCGCGAATCATGAACGCACTATTGTGTTAGCCCAGATATGAAGTATATGACCAACAGTAAGATTGACAGGCCTCCTGTCAAAGGCACAATGAACGAAAGACAGGGAAAATTAAGAGAAAACTATAACGAAAGAGTGATCAAGTTCTATTTCTGAGCGAACATCGCCTTGGGGGTATTTCAGATTCGTTGTGTAAAACTGGTCCTACGTAAAGGAGATAAAGATTCCTTTGAGTACTGAAATGAGAGAGCTCCGCGGTGGGTGAACCAAACCATTCGGACTAAAAGAGGACTGTGCACAACAGCAACTTCCAGTTTTTCACGAGGTCCTTCGAGTGCTGCTCTATTGAGAGGTTGGATGCAAAACTCACCAGAAAACGAAGGGAATAGCTGAAAGTTTCAAAGCAAACTTCCAGTAGAAAAGGGTAACGAAAACGACGGCATCAAACGAGAACAACACGGTGATCCAGTGAAAAAGAGGTTAAAGACAGTCCCCCGTTTTAGCAACTCGTAGGCGTCGTTCTTTGTAGTCCGTTCCTCAGTCTCCGAGACATCCCATTTTCGCATGTTCACCCTGATAGGTGGTATTTCCGACCCGTCCCCAGTTGTCCTGCACCCAGAAACTCTGAACTCATGACAGAAAATAACTCAAGGAAAATTTGCTGTCTAAGTTCACTTTTTATATCGTGTTTTTTTTTCTTTTTTCACTGCTATATGGTGTAAGCTTTGGATGACGCGAAGCAACGATTAGTGAGCTAGATTCAGCAAAATATTCCAGGCTGCTCGGTCCATAGGGTGTTCTCCCTGATTTTTTTTGCTATTTTTTTCCTGGAGAGTCTCTTAACGACTACAGATTTGCAACTAAACGCCACTATCTACAGTGTGCATCGCTGGGCATGTCTCTGACCACACGGAAGGAAGTGAATCAAAATGTCACACTAAAAATAATTAAAAAAGCAGAAGTTATGAACAATGGTCTCAACCTCTGTTGAAATGCACACCCACACGGTCCTCCTTTTATCCCAGCCCCAAAGTGAGAGATCAGGTGAGAATCCTACACTTGGATTAACCATTTCCTGAAAATAATGTCAGTTGTAGATCTACAGCATACTAGAAAGTCCATAGCTGACCTCAACAACTTGCTCCACCTTACGCTTCAGCGAGGATTGTGAGTCCGGGTGAATTCGGAAAATGAAACCATGAAAACTCTTATAGTAGGGTTCTTTTCTGGAAGTGATTCATTTGGATCCATTGAACTGCACAAACAGAGTGCGAAATTAAACTGACCTTAGCCATAGATTTAGTTGTGATGAAGATACCTTCACTCTACCAATATCAAATAACCGATTATGGTGTTTATTATGCATTTCCACCTCAACGATACTATCAATGGAATATACCATGTCACACTGAAATGCAAAGGATCCGTGAACGGTTTAAATCGAACGTCAAAACAGTTTTTGCTCGATGAACTCCGCCACACAGAAATCAAGACCGCATTCTTAGCTTGCGACAGTGGCGAGCGGCAAAAACAGTGACCGGATAAGCCGCAAAAGGTACTATGACCACTATACGGTAAAGATTATACGTATCGACTGAAATAGCACGAGTGAGATTCGGAGAATCCGTGAAAAATGCTGTTTGGGCACTACTTACCCTTTACTGCCCCCAATCATCCAAAATAAGGCCAGTTCATGACCTACTTTGTTCTCCGAGGGCAGACTTGGCTGAAAAATCTTAGCTGGGGTCGTTGGACCTCCTGAACACCAATATCACACCCCTTAGCCCGAAACAGGGTACAGCAGCGTTGTGGGAAACAAACAGGAATCGTACTTTTCGGCTGGGGAGGGGGTCATATGTGGCTTTAGAAATTTGCCGCGTTGGGAAAAAATTTCTCCCGGTTGTTGACTTTTCGCGTGATTTTTCCTGTTTCATGTGTACTATGTACCCCCCCGCTCGACGGAAAATCTTGGGTGAAAAACTGGAAAATGTGGGAAATTGGTAGGTAGGTGTTGGGGAAGGGGGGTGGTCGTACTGGCACCACCATTTCACACATCACGATGCTGTACCCTGGCCCGAAACCTGGCGCCCGTGCCAAATACCCTAGATCACCAAACTCGCTTGACTCCTGATGCAAATGCTTGACATCTTGAGTACAAATATTACATCCGTATGGGCTGTTAAGAAAGGTAAGTATGGAGGAAAGGGGCACACGTGATACCGCAGCTTGCTTCTGCTCGCCTTCACCCTTCCCCCAATGATCCTTTCTAATAAGTTTCAGGCAACCAAAAGGGTGCTGCTTTTTCTCTTCACCTCCCTAACTGCCCTAGCTCATCGCTCGGCCCGAAACCGATTAAAGTCCGTGCTAGGCGGAATAAGCATGCGATGAGTCGCTTTTGACGTATGCGTCGGGCGATTTTAGACTGAAAGGATGTAATATTTGCACCCTAAGGGTCTACCCCTGGGAACAATTTTTCAGCAATAATGGCGATTAGGGTATTTTGGCGCCGGCGCCTATGGCGCTCTCGGCAAGCTGATGTGATATACGTGTTCAGGACGACAAATCGCCCCGTAGCAAACTTTTAGCCAAGTCTGCCAACGGAGTAAAAAGTCTGTCAAAAAGGCCGATTTTGGATGTATGGGGCGGTGCCGCTGCTTGTATCAACTAATCCCTGAATCTATACTGGAGCGGGGTCAGTCGATATGTATGCTTTCACTTTTCGTGTATTCTTCAATT